CCTCGTGTCAGTTGGATCGGGTGCAACAAGTGACCGCTGCTTTCCCATGATCCCGCGCGATTTGGTGGTCTGCCAAAAACCGGCACCATCTTCAGTCAAGGAGTGGCGGTGGCTCCGTTGCCCACACAGGCAGAATTTTCCCCACAATTTTGGCGGCAACGCGATGCCATCATGCTGCGCTGTGCATTGTACAAACAGCATTGCGGAAAGAAAAAAGCTGTTTGCCGTTCCGACGGGAAAAGAAAATCTTCAGCGACGAAGACAATGGCTCCACCGGATCGGTCGGAAAAGTTTCGACTGCCTCCGAGGTAGACTTTGCGAGGTAAGTCATTGTAAAACTCTGGATCGCATTAACTGTATCTTTCGGTCTCGCCGATGAAGAACGACTAATAAGAGCATGAGACGAGACAAACACGGAACTAAATTACCGGCACGAATAACTTTGGCACGTCTTTTTGCTTTTTGTGCGTATCTGATATTGAAAACTGACTCGTTCGCTCTTATCTCCCTTGCATTGACTCGGCCGAGTTGAGAAGGATTCCACTAAAATAAAGATAATTGTAGTGTTACCGCGAGCATATTCCGTCAGTGAAAAGAGTCACCAACGATCGAGCAGCTTGCGATTTTCTTGTGCAACATGTTTCCGCAATCGGCGAGGCAACATGGAACTAAGTTACCATATTCCAGGAAAAATAAATCTGACCTTCTGTGAAACGAAGCTCTAAAAGAAACAGTGTTGAGCTTGTTGTTTACTGCCAACGCCTTTCCGACATGCTACGAAGTACACAAAAAGGTTACGACATTGTTTCTGCGAACAAGGATGCAAGTTCTTGTGAAGAAACACAATGTCGAAGCGGAACGGAAGTGAGTGGCGTCGAAGAAATCTAGTAGCAGGAGCATTGCAATCAGAAATGCAGCCACAAATGTGTGATAAATGCTTTTGTTTCAAGTTTTTTTTTTTTTTTTTTGTATTGCTGTTTTTGGATAGATTTATATGTGATCGAAAAAAAAGGTTGCTTCGGATCTTCAGCCACAGCAGAACCGTATAATCTGAAGACATCCTGAACAAAGAAGGCTGTTTTGCTGTGCTTAGGATTTTTTGTGTGTAGGAGGTTGTATATGGTAAGAGATGTCTAGTAGTTATTTTGTTTCGGATGTCTTTGCAGCCGAACAGGAGTGTTTCTTGAAAGGGCCACTAGGCCAGATGGTGGCAAATGTGCAGTATTTTGTCTTGTAGCCATAAATATTTTGTTGTGTTCATTTTTGTATGTGATTTGTCCTCCGTAATAAAAAAAAAACAATTTATTGTCAATAAAAAAATTGCTCGTCTTTTGAAGGCTTTGCTGAAGGATATTTCTGTCCTCATTTGTAGCTCACGCAATAAGGTACACCCGCGGGAGTGTGGCAAAGCTTGTATGCTTTGGAAGTGACCTTAAAGGCGTACCTCGCCTGTGAGAACATAAAAAAAAAAAATCTCGAAATACAGTAAGGATGAAAGAGGGCCTTCCTAATAAATGGGATAATTGAGAAACGCGTTAGATGGCAACCAATAATGCGCTATGTTTTATTTTAAATGACGGGAAATAAGTACTTGATGGATAGTTTAATGCACAAGGCGCGTGAATAGCAGACGTCGCATATTCCTCCGTGCAAATGTGCACAGTTTCAAGTAGTATTCAACGCTTATAAAATGTGTAAAAAGTGAACCAAGCTGCTGGTTAGGCAAGACGATCGGTAATGATAAAAATTACAAAGAAGTCCTGGTTTTGCACGCGTTAAGGAGTCTTATTTGCCTAACTCGAGTGATGCCGAATCTGAAAATGCACTTCATTCAAGATAATAAAAACTTTTAGTAGAGCGTACTCTAAGGATTGCGAGTCATGCGGGCGCGTGCCCGATTCATGCTCAAAGCAATGGCACGAGCTCCCGCTTAGCAACGCAATCCGTGGCCCACGAAACTATTTACACGGAGGGAGAGGTACATTTTATCTCGTGCCTGCTCTCAGCTCTTGCTGCAGTAAACGGGTAAATGCAATATATTTTTGCAGTGCATGCCGATGTCCCAAAATGCTGAAAAAGAAACATGGGTATTTTTTTATTTAAATCGTCAGCAATCAGTGGATTTGGAGAAAGCTCGTCGAGCGATTCGAACTCTGCTCACAATATTATATTTGCCGATCGAGACGTCTAAACGTGCTTTACAACTACAATAAAGGTGCACAAATGCTAGTGTCCTCACGTTAAGAAACAAAACTGTCTTCACATTAAAAAAAAAAAAGAAATTCTCTAGTCCACCATATAAAATAGCAAACAAGTACGGCCCGGCAAGCAGGCACACGCGGCTTTGACGTCACACCTCTGCGGTGGCACTGTTGTCGCCACTGCTGCGCAGAAGCTTCACCTCACGCGAAGCTGCTTCATGCGCTTGCGCAGTGCCCACAACTGGTGTGGGCAAACGCGGGCTTGTTTGTAAACAGTGTGTTCACAAACTTGGCGGTGAGGGGCGTAGCGCAGGAGGGCGAGGAAGATTGCCCTCGATGAAAAGGAGGAAAATTCGGAAAGAGGAGGAAGAGGAAGAGGAGGAATAACACTACCTTTCTGTATATGGGTGGTGTGGTGCGTGTGTGGCACGGCGAGCGGCGAATGACATACTGCGCCCAGTTTAACCGCTTATGTGTTCCATGCTTTACCTTCCCCGACGATTTTCACTCTTATTTAGAAACTGTAAGTATGTTAGCCATCAGAGAAGCAGAAAAACAAACTATCCTGTGTTACACAAAAGAAGCAAACGGAATTTCGCAGAAAACAATGACAACCACAGTTTGAAAATTCTTATACAGACAGCCAGGCAACACGGAAACAACCGCCGGGAAAATCGACACGGAGTGAGAAAATATTGGGAAAACCTAAAACAAAGGAAAGCGATATCTGAAAGCAGGTGTCATATAAGCGCATGACTGTGAAGATGATAGTGCAAATAGGGAAGGCAAAAACACTGAGTATAAGCATGTTAGTCAGTTCAAAATTTACCACAACTTTCGTCAACGCAGACCCGAAGGGGCAAAAGGGGCATTCAAAATGGGTACAGTGGCAATTGATAGCAAAGCATCATTCTTTGTCCTCCATACTTTTGGCGCTGTTTCCCTCGTCGTAACTAGAAAAACCTGCTGGGAAGAGCGAGTTTTTGCCTAGTCCTTGCCTAGTCAGTGCATACACTGACTAGGCAATTAGTTCCCACGGGGGTAACTTGCTAAAGTGAGGTCTTAGCACTGTACAGGATGTCAAAATGAAAATCTTGCAAAAAGTTACTTCACACTACTTGATTCACACACTTGCGTTTGACTACGACCGAATGAGACAAGACCGGTTTTCAAGCCTCTTGTGACTGCTCACGACCGGCTGCACAGCACTGCAGAAAGTTGTAAACCTTCACAAGAGGCTTAAAAACAGGTTTCTTAGGTCATAAGCAGTCACAAGCATGCCGGACCAGCCGTTACTTCAGTACCATAATCTGCAGCAGCTGAAAGAAACAAGTCTAAAAGTCGAAACTGCCAACCTTTTTTTTTTGTTAATAATCAAGATTGAATTTTGATCATACATTAACTTTTAGCACGATTATATCTTCCTTCCACACAGAAAAGAGTAGTATCAGAAGAAAACAATGAAGACATTTTTACAAGCATCAATAAGCCTACCTTGAACCAGTTCAACGAAGTTTGGAACAAGAGCTAGAGCATGACCCAATGCACATTCAGGTGCATAACACAAAGTAGCTGCTCTGAAAATCATTAAACAATGTCTTCTATTCACTGACCCAGCCTCTATATCACAGCTGGAGAAGAATCATTTCCTACGCACCAATGCATTTGTGATGACAAATGATGGCATTCGGACGAAAGGCTGGAGAGCAATGCCAAACATTATGGCTGTGTAGCCAACCAAGCTGCCTGGATATTGCTGGCATTTGAAAGGCCAACCTGCTGCAGGCTTTACGCAAATGCCCTTAGGGTTTGTTAACCTCATGCGTTAGCATCTTCCTGATCAGGCAAGACTGTTAAGGAAATGGCCTGGAACGCTGCTGGAATTTGCGAGGCTTATTACGCATAAGCGCTTCAGTTTGGCGAGCTTCACTATTAATCTGAGCAAAGGCTTTGGGACCTATTTTTCACTCAGGTATATGCCTACTTTGATTGAAAAGGCATAAAGTTTTGCCCAAGCTAAATTATTACACACGGGGCAGGCTCAACTTACGGGTCAAGAGCAAGGCATTCGCATTCCGCACATGTAAATACGTCTTTTAACTTTTTTGTACATCTCATTTATCGTGCTGAAATTTAGTATATGGATGCATTTCTCAGTGGTGATTTCAAATACACAATTAGTTTTCACATAGCTTTAATAAATCCCGAGTTATCATAAAATTTTAATTAGGGTCTCCTTATGGGTCATTAGCAGCTAATTAAAACTGCAACTAATTAATTAAAGTTGTTGTATGACATATAAAACAAGAGAAACAGTACCACTGCACAAAGCATGTCTTGCTGAATGCAATTCTGTAAAAAATTCTGATATCTTCTGAAGAATTTTACGCTTACAACCCGTAAGAGCGCCTAATTAAAATTACATATTTATTGATAGCTCAGGATCTAGTAAAACTATCTGAAAACTAAATGCATACTTGAAATCACCACTGAAATACATCCGTATACTAAATTTCAGCACGATAAAAGAAAAATAAAAAAGTTAAAGACCCTCGTTCCCCTTAAACACTGTTTTCAGTAATGATGGATCAGACTGGTATTATGAGAAAAGGATCGGGCACTGCTTGCACTTAAATGATTTTTCACCTGTGTGTGTTCGATTATGGCTTTGCAGAGAGGAAATTAGGGCAAAGGTAGGGGACACTGCCTGCACTTAAATGGCTTTTCACCAGTGTCCGATCATGGCTTTGCAAAAAAATTGTGAGAAGGCTTGGGGCACTGCTTGCACTTTAATGGCTTTTACCAGTGTTTCCTTTTAGTATGCTGCATCAGATAGGAATTTTGAGCAAAGGCTTGGGGGCACTGCTTGCACTTATATGGCTTTTCACCTGTGTGTATTCGGTTGTGGTGGATCAGATTGCTACTCTGGGCAAAAGCTTGGGGGCACTGCTTGCACTTGAATGGCTTTTCACCAGTGTGTGTTCGATTATGAATTCTCAGGGAGAAATTTCGAGCAAAGGCTTTGCAGCACTGCTTGCACTTAAATGGCTTATCACCTGTGTGTGTTAGACTATGGCTTAGAAGTCTTGTGAGAAAAGGCTTGGGGGCACTGCTTGCACTTATATGGCTTTTCACCTGTGTGCGTTCGATTATGTGTTCGCAAAGAAGACTTGTGAGAAAAGGCTTGGGGCACTGCTCGCACTTAAATGGCTTTTCACCAGTGTGTGTTCGATTATGATTTCTCAGAGAGAAACTTTGAGCAAAGGCTTTGGGGCACTGCTTACACTTATATGGCTTTTCACCTGTGTGCATTCGGTTGTGGTAGATCAGTTTGCTATTATCAGCAAAGGTTTGGGGGCACAGCTTGCACTTAAATGGCTTATCACCTGTGTGCATTTGACTATGTCTTTGCAGATCCGAATTTTGAACAAAGGCTTTGAAGCACTGCTTGCACTTAAATGGCTTATCACCTGTGTGCGTTCGGTTGTGGTAGATCAGTTTGCTTCTCTTAGCAAAGGTTTGGGGGCACTGGTTGCACTTGACTGGCTTTTCTCTAGTGTGCGTTCGATTATGACTTTCAAGATGAGAGCTTTGAGCAAAGGCTTTGGGGCACTGCTTGCTCTTAAATGGCTTTTCAACAGTGTGCATTCGATTATGGATTTGCAGATGGGAATTTAGAGCAAAGGCTTTGGGGCACTGCATGCACTTAAATGGCTTTTCAGCAGTGTGCAAATGATTATGGTAGTTCAGAAGGGAATTATAAGCAAACACTTTGGGGCAAAGCTTGCACTTCAATGGCTTTTCACCTGTGTGTGCTTGATTGTGGTAGATCAGACTCCTACTCTGAGTTAAGGTTTTGGGGCATTGCATGCATTTAAATGGCTTTTCACTAGTGTGTGTTTGATTATGACAGGTCAGGAGGGAATTATAAGCAATGTTTTGGGGGCAAAGCTTGCACTTATATGGCTTTTCACTCTTGTGCTTTTGAGTGTTGCAGAGCACTTGGGACTTAAAGCCAGGCATGGGAGGATGCTGACACTTGGATTGTTCGTCACCATGGGCAGCCAGGTGGCTCACAATTACACGCTGATCTCTGGTGACATAGGTGCAGAAACAGCATCCGAACCAGATGTCTTCAGCGACTTTCAGTGGGCAGCTGGTGTGCCCTAACATAGTGGCTCCATCACCTACAAGAAAATATCATGTATTTACACACAACGAAAACCCAACCAAGATAGCTAGTTAGTCTGGAAAAGAGTAGTCATTCATTCAGTTTTGCCACAGCTGTGGTCTAATATTTTGCTGCACTTTGGAATTCGGTTCACAGAAGCAATCAAATGCAACTGGCACCATTAAGGGCAGTCTCCAGTCTTAAAAAAAGTAAAAATCGTAGAATTTTTTTTTTATTTCTAAATTACTCTTTACATATCTTCTTGCTTTGGGAAGGATTCCAGTATTCTTAGAATTTTTTTTTTTGGCACAAAAAAGTGTTAGTTTTAAAAGTGAAAAATCTGGATCTGAATACTTCTGAGGGCTGGACACCTCATTATTCAGATAGCACTACAAAAACAGTATTTCTGAAGGGTGTTAGGAATGCCTTTTTTTCTAATTGGTCAATGAATGATTATGGCACTTCAGAAAGAAGGCCTTCATTCAAGTATTTCAACATGTGATGCAGTCATATCTCGCTGATATGGACACTCTGCTGTAGACAGATTTTGGGGGACCAATCCCTCCTCGGGCAATCGTGCTTTGTAAATAGGGATGCCGCAAACTTTTTTCGAATCTAAGTTTCGATGATCGAATCACGCGGTTCGAAAGGTTCAAAAGATTTCGAATTTTCAAACTTTCCATATCGAGAAATTCGACGGAAGTCGAATTTTTGAACTTATTAAGCTAAGAAGTTCGACGCTTTTCGAATTTTCGTACTTATTACGCTGCAGAATTCGATGCTTGTCGATCTTTCGAACTTGATAGACTAAAAAATTCGATGATTTTCGACCTTCCAAACTTCTTGCACTTAAAAGTTCGAAGGTGTTCGAACTTTCGAACTTCCTACGCTAAGAAATTCAATAATTTTCGAACTTTCGAACTTCTTAATCTAAAGAATTCGAAAATTGTCGAACTCTCGATTCCTGAAAAGTCAAAAGTTCGACGAACTTCGAACTTTTAGGGTAAAAGTTCAAAGTTCGTCGAACTTCAAAAGACCGGCGGGCAGTTTCATTTGGATTCAAGCAGTGAGGAACATTCATATTCTTTTTTTGCAATTTTACATGGGGTGTCGCATTCCTTGCAAAAGACAATGCCGTTTATTTCAATCATCTGGCATGCTTGGTTTTAGAAAAATAGATTCCCGAAGGAGCGAGGAAGTACGACGGGTTTTGGACTATTGTCGTTTGTGCCATATTTGAAGCGCGCTATAGCCAAAGCTATTTATGGTAGAGATGTTAAACTTTTTAAGAATGATCTATATATAGCGTAGGTGAGCGTCGTCTTCAGATATGATTATTGTTGTTCAAGACGAGTATCGAATAAATATCCAAACATGTACCTACGGGCAATTATGCCGGTTTTTTTTCGCCTACATTGTTTGGGGTATCGCATTTAAATTAACACCAGAGACAGTACATATCATTACCATCTGCAGAATACAAAAATGTATTTATTGTTTTTTTCACTTTGAGGATAAATTAACTCATGGAGGAAGATTTATCAAATTGTTCAAATTCTGAGAGTCATAAAAAAAAATGTTCTCTCATTTTACGTTCTTGGGACGTGTTTTTTGGCCTGTACACATTTTGGTAGGAAAAACTTGTTTCATAGTTCCGGGCCTCTGAATATGCAAGAATACAACACTTCCGGCGGGTTCTCGAGAGTTTTTTGGTTTTTTTTCTCAACAGCTTTTTATTTTTGCATTTATGGTTATGTTTACTTATTGAATATTTTTTACCAATGGCAACGTTATTCGGGTCGAAGAGACATAGCTTTGAACTTTCGAGCCACCGAGCATGTGACGAGTAGTGCCTCCTGACAACGAGTTTCTAAAGGCCTGTTCACACATGCAGCGGAGCGCTACAAGCATTGCGCTGACCTCGTGCGAAGCACGTGTCGACGGGAGCGTTCACCAGCTTTGTATTGCACCGTGAAAACTGTTGCTCATGGCACACAATAAGTACCGGCACGTGAGCAGCGTTACATCAGCGCTTCGCTGCATGTGAGAACCGGCCTTAACAATAACCATATATGCGATCTTTTATGCAGTGAAGAGCGACAGTAGCTATACATATGCATAAATAATATAAGATTAAAATAAGCTCGACCATGCCCTCTTTTCTCGTATTGCTTTCCTTAACAGTCCGAAATATCTGGGAGGGGGGAGACTTGAGCCCCCCCCCCCCCCCCCCCCCCCGTTTTTCCTCTTCCGACGCCACTGGTATGGTAGAAAGCTCCTCGACCTCAAGTTGCGTCAGCTCCTGTGCTTGTTGCTCGGCGTTTCTTCCGCCCCAGAAAATAAACCTTCAAAGCAATTGCAAACAAAAAAATTGCCAAGGTGCAGGCGAGCTGGTGTATGTTGATCATGATGCAAAATCCCGAGACTGGGAATGAAATTCGCAAGAAATAGTGTAAGAAGAAAGAAAAAAGGGGACAGGACAACGGTCTCAAACTCAGCTGAGTTGAGCTTGAGACGTTGTCCTGAGCTGAGTTTTCAGCTGAGTTGAGTTTGAGACGTTGTCCTGTCCCCTTTTTTCTGTCTTCTTACACTTTTTCTTTCAAGTTTCATTCCCAGTCTCAGGATTTTGCATCATGTACAAACTAAACTTACTATATGCCAGCGTCACTCGGGCGGCGTTCGATCGGATTACTACCAGCGTGCAAGGGGGTAGGGGCAGTTTGCCAGATCACTTCAAGGTTTTTCTGAGCCTCAACCACCTGCCTGCCCCCGGCCGTTTTGAACTGGATGAGTATCGTTAAACAGTGCGTTTGTAGGATCACTACTTCGTAATGCACGTTAGTGACCACCCCGGGCTGGCAGTCACTATTACTGATCTATTGTTACACGTCACTGCACTGGCAAATATTCCAGCACATCCGGCGCACTCGTCGTCTCTAAATATCACTCCCGAACTTTTCTAAACCTGATTTAGTGAAAACCAGTGAGGCGTGAAAACGTTATTTTGAAACTGAAACTGTGGCGGAACATGGAAACCGGACTTCGAACTTTGCACACTTGGACTTCAAACAAATCAAAAACCTCCAAAGTTTTTTTTTTATTTTTTTTTTCGAATTTAGCCCTAAAAGAGAATCGAAACCTTCAAACTTTATGTAAAAAGAAATTTGAAGTCTTCGAATTTACCGAACTTTATGTCTTGAAAAATTCGAAACGTTCGATTTTTTGAATTTTAGATCCAAAGAAATTCGAAACATTAGAATCTCTCGAATTTCAAATTAGGGAAGTTCGAAATCTTCAAATTTATCGAAGCTCAAGTAAACAAATATTTGAAATAATCGAACCCAAACTTTTAGAAACCGTGAAAGCTTCGAACTTTTCGAATTCGAAACCCTACGATTTTGGAAAGTTGCGAATTTTTCGAATTCGAACCTTCCTACGGTCAAAAATATCAAAACTTTTCGAAATCGAACGTAGGGTGGTTCGCGGCATCCCTACTTGTGAATATTAAAACCTGCAGTCCAGACTATGAACAGCTAGTTTTGAGAACAAACTGTGTCAATACATGCAGGTTTGTCTAATATTTAGTCACAAGAGGGCCCACTAATAAAAAAAAAAAGAAAAGAGCTTAGTAAAGACCTTGGATTACAGAGTTCACCGAGGGTCACTACTTTCAGCTGTCAATTGCGTGTCCTTCAAAAGGCATTGCCTTCGCACCGAACAATAGTTAAATTTATCGTGGCTTTCCAGTCAAATGCCTAACCTGTACTTCTCTCCTTATGTTAAGATGGTCTTTAGGTTTATGAAATGTGTCCGCTTTTCTAGCTTGTCTTGCCTCTTCAGTCTATGCACATTTATGGGCAGCCACGCTTTGGTCAAAAATCAGTCTGGCAACCGTGGGTACAGTTTGGCGAGGCAATATTTCCCAAGGGAGTGCTTGGCTGGCTCAGGCCAGTGCAAGTCTTAAAAAACACATGCAAAAAGAAAATTGTTTTAAGCAGCCTGGACGAGAAAAGGATGCTTTAAAACGGATTTACCACAAGAAAAGAAATTTTAAAAGCTGCATTTACGCCACGTAACCCATTTATAGTTGGCACCCCCAGGAGCCCACGGAGAAGTGGCCACTATGGTAACGTGGTGCTTCCTATGGTCTCTAAAATTTACTTATTAATTTTCGTTTGAAGTGAAACAAAAGAATGAAGATTAATAGGTACCTTTAAGAGCCCAAAGGAAAGTCCCGAGCGCAACCACCACGTGATAGACCTGTGCGCAGCTCAGAAATCGATAGCGGTGGCGCTCCAGAGTGTTCCCTATGGTGGCAGCGGTGGTGTCGTGGAGAAATGAATTCAATTAGTTCAACCAGCAGCGCGCCACGCTCAACGTGTGGTGGCGGCATAGGGGTTCAGGGGACTTCAGCGGCGGCACTGAATGGCTCCAGCAGTGGCAGCGGCGCACAGGTCTACCATGTGACCGGTGGCAGCTCTCGCGTTCACCAGCCACAAATTTGTTTCACATCGTAAATATAGCTCAAATATTCTTCTTATTGTTGTAAAGTCCTTTTATCGCATCCTTTTCCCGTCCAGGCAGTTTTCGAAATTTTTGTTTTTTCTTTGCATGTGTTTTTGAAGGGGCACTGACACCCCAAAAGTTGTATGTTTTGTTGTAAAATGATGCAAGTTGTAGTCATAGACACACAAAAAATACAATAAAAAACAAATATCCCCGTGCACGCATGCGTTTTTCATTTTTGCTGTTCTTCTTTCCCTTTTCTCACCTCCTCGCTCCTTTTTATTTGCGACATCATAAATTCTGAAATTTAGAAGCTTTGTAAGCGACATTTCTATAATATTTAATAGCAGCCTTCGTAAAACATGTTTATTTAACTAAATTGCGAATGCACTACGACCCTTCTTTTTGAAATACCGAAAGTCGGAGTTTGGAGTGATGTCACCTCCTGGCTTTTTATCAGTACCTCCTCTCGGGTAATGCCTGTTAGATACCGCTCTTGTACAGCAGGGC